GGCCAAGCGCAGGCCGATTGAGGAGCGCCGCAGGGGACAGCGGGTGTTCTCTGCATCCATCTTTCTCTCCACTCCCACACCGAAGCTCGCTCGAGGTTGCTCTGCTCAAATAATCAAAGGAGCCATCTGATTGGCCACTGGCCAGTTAAGGGATGGACTCCCATGGAGTCACTGCTCACCCTGATTCAATGAGCTCGGGCTATAGGTGCTGATTCTCCTAATGTGAGTGTGGCGCCGTGTGGCCGTGTGGGACACAGGGGCAGGTCTCAGAGTGCTGTGGGCTTGGCAGAGATTCCAAGTGGCATCTATGCAACATTTTAACTCTGTCAACAAAAGATAACTGCAGGCCAGGGAAAGTAAAACGCCTGCCAAGGGGCACAGCTGGAGCTAATTTTTTTTTTTTTGTGGTTGGGAGCAGAGGTACGGGGGAGGATGTGGAGGGTGCCCAAAGGTGGCCTGAATGTGGCAAGTTCAGAGGCGTTCTCCAGCGGGTGGTGGGCTGGAGCTGCTGGGACCAGCTCCTGAGGGCTACGTTCAATATTCAAAAATTTTGTGAGCAAGTCAACTCTTTGGTAGCCAGAAATTGGCCATAGTAGGAGTATTTTTATATTGTGAAAATTAGCTGATGTCACAACCAGCCCGTTCTTTTTTTTTTTCTCCTTCCAAAGGCCCATTTACCAGCACGCCATTGTCTAGCTCCACGTGGTAAGAATTCACAATCTCTGCAGGTGCCATATTTCAGGGGGGAGGTGACCCCAGTTTGCAATCGTTTGCCCTGGGGATGCCAGCTAGGACTCACTTTGCAGATACAGCCCTTGACCTTGTGCTGCTGCTGTTCCTGGATTCAAAGCCAGCTCCTTCCTAACTGCTGAATGGTACAGCTCCTGTACTACATGAATAAGACAAACCTGAGCAAGTGCCTGTAAAACTAAGAGAGGTGTCTTTAAGAGATTTGCTTAAAAACAAAAAAGAAACCTAATAAGGCAGCCAATAAGCCACTGCCCCCAGGGATATTGACTTACTGTGTAGTTATTTAAAAAAGGAAACTCGTATCAGTTGCCCTTTCTCCAAGCTCTCGTTTGTGTGGCTTGGCTTCCCACTGCCTCATTCCCATCAGAGAACAAAGGCCGGGAGAGAAAGAAACCTCATGACTGTAAGTGATTCCCCAGGCCCCTGGCCTCTGCCACCTGTCACCAAGCCTGATGACGAACCTCCACTGTCACCCTGGCAGGGCTCCACACAGCTCCTGTCCCACATTTCTTAAGAGGCACAAACTGCATTTATTTCACTGACCACAAGACAGCCCTGGGAGCTGGGGGGTGGGGCCTGTGTGGCGTTCCCATCCAATAAACTGCCCGTGCCAGGGAGCCTAAAACAACACAGAGCAGAGCTCTGGCCTTGCAGAAGGACATGGGAGCTATTGCCGCCACTGCCGCCGCCGCCGCCACGGCAGTGACCGCAGTCTGATTTCCTGGAACGTGATGGGTGGCGTCACGAGGCCTCCCAGACCTCCTCTCCCGTGGGAGAGAATACGAGCATGCGAGAGAGATTACGTCCTCGTGCTGACATCGATGGGGATAGAAACACGCGACGGAGTTTGACACTGTGTCACCTTCCTCTTTCTCCTTTCTTCTTCATTCTCCTTCTCTCCCTCACTCAAAACATCTGTCCCTAGCCCCATTTCACAGTCCCTGAGCATCCACCAACACACTAACCTAGGTACTTTGAGAAACACAGAAATGCGCATTGAGGTGAAAAGAACAGGAAGTATGGATCCAGCCACCTCCCTCTCTAGAACCAACCCACCTCATTGCATTCATTATTTCCTCAACATTCCACATGGAGCATGTGATTCTTAGTGATGGTGGGTATAACATGCAGCTTCCCGGGGGTGGCAGACACTCGGGAACCTAGTGAGAACCTGGGGAAATACCTGCTACGAATTGTCCGCACAAAGTGCTAAGATCACTGCACAGAGTTTTATTGCATCCCCAAGTGCTTTCCCTGGACCAGTGCATTATGTAATCAATCTTCACAGCAACCCTATGAGGAAGGCAGGGGAACAGTGTTAGTTTTCTGGTGTATCTGTCCCTCCTGGACTGGGAGCTCCCTGGGGGAGGGGCCTTGTTATAGAAGGAGAGACTCTCATAGTTAAAGGAACTATAGGAGAAAGACATCCAGCCTAACACCTTCCTTATGCAGACAAGGAGGTCAGCAGGAAGGCAGCAGGCGGGAGTGAGGACAGCAGGAAGCTATCCGGCCACCTGGCCGGGGAGTTTTGCTCGTGGTTTCTGTAGGCCTCGGTGCCCTCTCCTGTCCAACGGAGTCAACACTATTTTCTCTGCTCATCTCATTGAGCTGTTATGAGTGTTAACTGAGGTGGTGAATGTGAAAACACTTTGGGAAACTAATATTAGACACTGTTACAGATATGATAGCTCTTTGTCCCATCTTTCCTAAAGGCTGTCTAACTCCACGTCACCCTAGTTTAAAATGCAATTGTGCAGGGACCAGACGGTACACTCTCCAGAGGCAGGGGACACGTTGAACTGATATGGGTCCCTCCAGCTCGTGGTGCCGAGACTGCCGGAATGTTGGTTTAAACAGATTTGCTAGACAATGATCGCTGAATGGGTCAGTGAAACATAATACGACTCACTCAAGGGCAGTTCTGAGTGTCTCCAGAGCTATTTCAGAGACAACTCATGAACATGCCCCGTGAGGAATTTCTCTTCTACCTCTAATTCACACCACTAAGGAGTCTGTCTGTCCCTACCACCACAGAAAGATCATCAGGAATGATGAGAATAAAAGTTTGTCACTGAGATCTCGCTTTCGAAAGGGCATTTCCCATTTCCTTTTGTAAGCTCCACGTCAATTATGTTCAGGGTTGGTAGACACCTCAGGCTGGTTTTCAGTAGGCAGTGCCGCTGGGATGGATTGCCAGTCATGGGAATGGAGCCCCAGGGGCTCCAAGAAGTAACGGGGCCACTGGGCCAGTCTCTGCTCCAGGTCCTCTATTGGGCTCCCATCCCAGCTCACATCCAGGTGCAGATTCTGCTGGCAATCCCAGCTGTTCCCATGTGACACTCCTGGAAATGGTGGGCTCTTCATCCGCTATTTGATTAGTTCAGGGTGTTTGTCCATGAAGCACCTGCTCCACGCTGTGTTTGAATTACTGCCGTAGAAGTTGTCCTCAGAGACCAGAGTTAAGGCCATGAGACTGAATGCCTCTGGGGAGGTTGGGTGAGCAGGCTGCAGCGGTAAAGGACAGGCGCAGTTGGTAAGTGGGGGAGGAAGAGGAAGTAGAAAAGGAGAGAGGGAGAGAGAGAGAAAGAGAAAGAAGTGAGGTAACAGTGTCATGTCCAGTGACGTCATCACAAGCAACTCTGATGAAAGACCATCAGATGTGGCAATGAAGGGGACATTAGTATGATGTGAGAGAAGACGCCCAGCTGTGTGGTGAGTCAAAGAAGAAAGCCAGGGGAGATGTAGTTTCCCAGGAAGGTGACACAGTGGTGGCAGTTTGCGTGTTCGCGGATTTGGACAGGAGGACTTAGTACTGCAGAGAGAAGAGTGTCGGGGTCAAACGATGATCTTCTCAATCTGGGCAAATCTCAGCGCACCTGATGAGAGGGCGGGGGAGGGTCAGGAGGGAGGGTGTGTATGGACCTATCTGCATATCCCCAGTTCCTGGCACAGGGCTCCTAAAATTCTTATAATTTCCTAAGGGTTGAGAATATTAGGAGCATTTTTTGTTCTAATGGTTGGTTCTCTGCCTGGTTCCTGACACAGAGTTTCTAAATCCCTTGGAATTCCCAAAATCTCTTGCAGTGTCTTTCGTTCTAATGCGGCAACTCTTGGTGGGCTCCTGGGTAGCTTCGGGGCAGAGGCTGAAAGAGCAAGCCATGGTTAGAAGCCTGGAACTTTCCACCCCACTTCCCATCCTTCAGAATGGGGAGAGGGACCAGAGACTGTCTTAATGGTGGATCATGTGTATGTCACAAAGCCCATAAAGATCCCCAGAGTAGTAGATTCGGAGAGCTTCCAGGCTTGTGAACACATAGAGGTGCTGGGAGAGGGGTGCGGCCAGAGACGGCATGGAAGCTCATCCCCTTCCCACACACCTTGCCTTATGTATCTCTTCATCTGCCTGTTCATCTGTATCCTTTATTACATCTTATATAACAAACTGTACATGTAACCAGTACTCTGAATTCTGTGATCTAGCCTAGCAGGTTAATTACCAACCCAAGTACATGTTTGTGGGAATCCTGCTTTATAACCAGCAGGTCAGAAATACACCCTGGGTCTTATAATTGGTGCCTGAAGCAGGGGCAGTCTTGTGGGATTGAGCCCTTTATCTGTGGGATCTGAAACTAACTCCAGGTAGATAGTGTCAGAATTGAACTGAATTATATATAGGACACCCAGCTAGTGTTGCAGAGACTTGCTTGATGTAGCCACGCATCTGATGTCTAAAGAATTATGAGTGTGTGGGTAAAGGAAATCACAGGAGTGGTTTTCCAAGACAGAGAGGAAGGTTCCAAAGGAGAGAAAGACTTAGAGAGGTGAGGGAGGAGGGGCTCAGGATTTGTAGGAAAGGAATAGATTCATATGTCTGAGGCCAGAAACCACAGATGAAAGAACAATGAGGCAACATTATGTCTACATTATCAGAGACAACTCTCCAGAAGACCACAGACAAATTTGTTAGTCAAATACGGCTAAGGGAAGGAAATTTACAAAGTTTGGGGAGTTTGTGTTGAAGTGGTTTAAGGTGGGTCTTTTAAGGGGAGATCGGACTGGATCTGAGTAAAATTCATGCCGTGGTAGTTTAGTACAGGTGAACACAGCAAGGTCAAGGTGAAGGCAAAGGCCAACTCTTGGATACATAAACAGTGTTCGACAAGTGAACTGTTTGCCCAGGTAAACAATCGATTGCCCAGATAAAAGCAAATAGGGTAGTTGTTTGTTGACTTAAAGCTTTTTCTTCCTAGACAAGAATTTCCTGGGAAGAATCGTTGTCGTGTGGACAGAGATGGTCCGAGGCACAGTCCAGACACTGAAGCTCTGCTGCTGTGGGCGGCCTCGATGCTCAACACGGAGGGTCTCCTTAAAAGGGAGCGCGAACCAGAAACGCCGCAGCAGCGCTTCCAAACTTGGCCGAGCATCGGAATCACCTGCACGCCTTTAATAAAAAGCTGATGTCTGGTTCCCACCCCCAAGCATTCTGATTTCATTGGTACAGGGTCCACCCTGGGCATCAGCACTTAAAAGTGCCCTCGCCTCCAGTGATTCTAAAATGTAAACTTTGAGAACCACTTCACTAGAGCTAAAGGAGAAAGTAGGGATGAAATCACTATTTGCGATGCCCTGGGGACACAAGAAAAAAGGAATAAAAGATTGACAAGCCATCGCATATGACAGGTTGAAATCAGACCGCAGGAGCCCAGAAGAGACCTAGTCTGTAGCTCCCACCAATAGAAGACAGAGAAGCGGGTGGTGGTGGAGAAACGCCCCGTGGGAAGATCTGGGGCCTGGGCTGGACGTGGCGGCCTCAGTGGGAGGTCGGACAGAGGGGACTGGGGCACTGAGCAAGTTCTCTGCATGATCGGAGCGGGGAGGGCAGACTACTGAGAGATGTAACCAGAGTGGGAGAAGTCTGACGTGTGTGTTTCAGAAGTGGAAGATTCCCCAAGGGACTTTGGAAGGAGGAGGCCCAGGACCTCAGGATGCTGTTTCTCTGCTACGGAAAATAACGGCGGAGGACGGAGGCATCGCGGAGGGAGGGCAAAAAGATGTGGCGCACTGGAGGAGGATGCGACGGCCTGCGTGGGAGGCGGAAGCACACTGGGGAGGTGTGTGACGGCGGCCACGAGCAGCCAGGAGGCTGCTGCATCACCGATGTGAGGAGGCCAGCGTGGGCAGATGATGCGGCGTGCAAAAGATGAAATGGAAAGGAAGATACTGGTGTTTTGACAGCCTGGAACTGGCCCTGGGGAAGGAGGAAATCCTACCCCCAGCCCGGTCACTGCTGAGGAGGAGAAGGGAGGAGAGAGGACAGCCTGGGCAGTGCAGCAGGGCATCCAGGAGACGGAGGACCAGACTTACCAACAGGCCAGGAGAGGCAGGGAACGGACAAACCATTGGTTAGCATCAGGGGGCTAGTCTCTGCGAGCAGGAGTTTCACAGAGCTCCAGCGTGTGGGAAGGACCGGGCGGGGCGGCACAGCGCACGCAGCTGGGAGGAGAACAGAGAATGGGAGTGCGGGCTGGAGACAGAAAGCAGCGGCACTGCGCTAACAGTTCTCTTGATTTTTACTTAAACGGTTTAAAAATGTAAAAACCACACTTACCTCGGGCACTGTACAGAGACAGACAGCAGCCCGCGGGCCGCCGTTTCCCAACCTCTGGTTTAGGCAGCAGCTTCTTCCCCAGAACTATGCTCAGCATCTCAGTGTCAAGCAGTAATGGCTTTGGGCGGTGCCTGTGAGCCTCTGTGTTTTATCTCAATGTGTCCTGCACACCCATTAGCAGGATGTGTCCTAAGGCAACTGTCAGGCATGTTCGCTCCTGTATTTTCTGTGGCAGCTCTCACCCTGCTAAGGCAGAGCTGAGATTGAGACAGTGATCATAATGGCCTGCAACACCCCCTGTCCCCGTCCCCTGCCAAATTTACTGTCTGGCCCTTTAATTTGAAGTTAACATCCACCTGGATATCCTGTATTTTTATTGGTTCAATCTAGCGCCCCTTTATTGGCTGTCCTGGAGACTTTTGTCGGGGGAGGCTTTCCGAGAAGCCCAGGAAGCTACAGGAGGGGAGGGAAGAGGGTGTGGGCACAGAATTTATGTTAGAGGTACAGCCAAACGCCTTCCTGGCAGATTGCATTGGGGCATCCTAGGTTAGCACCAGGGTGGATAATTGCGCAGTGATTGGGATGCCCTCTGTTTACTCTGCAAAGTCTGCAGGTGCCTGACTATTGAGAAAATAATAACAAAACAAAATAAGAAGCAAAGTGGTTTAAGGCAAGTTCTCTCTGCTACAGAGAACCAGCAACCCTCCATCCCCCCTCCTCCCCAAATCAACTGAGATCAACACACTTCAAACCAGTTCATTTGTTTCCTAGAAGGACGACTTTAATTTTTTTACCTAGACTTTCAAAACGAAGAAATACAAAATGTTATTCAATAATTGGAATATGTGCTAATATATTTTGGCTCTGTCCAATGGACGCTTCACCATCACTCGGCAAGGAGTAAATGACAGCGAGGAGAAAGGAGGGTGGGGCGTAGAAAGAACCGAGGCGGGTGGAAGAGATGCTGAAAAGAGCAAGACAGGAAGACAGAGGAGAGGGCCAGTGGGCTTGGCCTCTGAACTGCCTGATGGAAGAGTTTCTTATCCAGTAGGTTAATCTTAGGATCTTTAAGGGACCAGTTTGTGTTGGCTAACAAAAGCAGCTTACTAGTCTCAGGGGGAAGGCAAGAATGTTTCTGGAGCCCCCTACTCGATACCAAGTGCATTACATGTGTTCGCTCAGTTTTCATAAGATCCTGTAGCATATCGATATGTTTAATCCTGTCTTATGGAAGTTAGTAACTGCCCAAGAACACAGAGTAAATGGTTACCAGTCTTGGATTTGAATACAGGTCTATCATCTGCTGAATCCCAAGCATGTAGTTTTTCCATTACACTATCTTCCTTCACATGCTTTAAAGAGTCTGAATAATATTTATAATGCATTTCTTGGTTGGCCCTTCTCTCCTTTACACACTTTCTAATCCCAGAGATAGGCATTCTTCCACTCCCCCCCGCCCCCCCCTCAACAACTGGCCTGCTCCCATTCCATTGAATGAGCATGTTGTGAGCGGTAGAGGAGTACCATATTTTGCCGTGTATCATGCACCCCGTGATTAATGTGCACCCATGTTTTTGTGCGCAGTATGCACAGGATTATTATACCCATTATTATATCCATGGCATGTAATCATTATACCCATGTATAATGCACATCATTATTTTTTCCCTCAAAAATTTGGGCAAAAACTGTGCATCATACATGGCAAAATACAGCAAATGCTTCAGAATGGTTTTGTTTCAGGGATAAAAATGTGCCTACGGATTGCTGCTGTTGCTAGGTGGGAGAAGTTGAACCATGTTTAGAGGAAATTACCTAGTTTTGTTAGGAAGGTTTTAAAGAAATGTTTGTTTAAGACAAGCGTAAGCTAATTAGAACTGGAAAAAAATGTTAGAAAAGAAGGTGAAATTTATCTCTAAGTTAAAAGGAGTCTTCCTTAAACAGAGACCTGTGGGCTGGGTTTCAGGCAAGAGAAGTGTTTTCTTGATTGTTGGTTTGTTTTCATAAACAGATTCTCCTGGAGATCGGGGGTAAGAGCAAAGACGTGGGTGAAATGATGGCCCCGGCAGCTAAACAGAACCCAAGCAGCAAGGCAGGAGGAAGGGCTCGGTGCGAAAGGGCAGCGCAGGAAGAGCACTGTGGTATTTGATTTATGTGTTTCCTCTGTGCTTTGTAATTCTGTTTGCTGTCTACATCTCTAGGAAACTGAGTAACCACTGCTGTTGAGGTTGCGTTAGAACTGTTTAAGGGAATGAAAAAGGATTTATTCTTGGAATAAATGTTCCAAGAATAAGCCAAAGGGAGATAAGCAAAAGTCTTCAGAAGCTATTACTGGGTAGTTAGAAATCACTTTCTGGAGTCCTCTGGAATATTCTGGAAACAGGATGAGGGCTTGAGTAATTTAATTTGATTATTAAAGGAAGGCTGGAAGATGTGTGAGGTACATCTGGGGAAATTCTCTTAGCACTGTGTGTTTAAGACGGGAAATTAAACACAAGATGAAATCCAAGGTTTTACGGTGAGGTTTCTCCCATAGGAGAAAGAAATCTCTGCACTCCCAGTTATGCAAATAATATGTAAACTGTGGTAATACGTATTTGCTCAGAAAATTTCAGTTACCTCATTTTGGCTGCAAGAGGGGTAGGGACACCAAAAGGGAATGTTTGTCAACAGCCCAGAGTTTTTAGATTTCTTCCAGGGGAAACAAAAGGGTAAATTTCTTACCAAACAAATGCCAGGCTTTTACATGAGCTTTTCAAGTGCTTTAATGTTTCCCTTCTATGGAGCATGCCAAGATAATTACGAAGTGGTCAGATGTGATGCATGGGCGCCATAGAGCACAAATGGAAAAGCACACTCATTCTCCCGTAGGAGACTTTTTCTCCATTTCCTGGGCTCAATAATATGAAGCAAGGGCTTGGGGTTTTCCCTGCCGATGATTTTTGTTATTATTTCTAGCCATTTCTCTAAGTCCGGGCTTCAAGTCTGTCACTGGGGAGTGCTGCCGTAGGCCTGTCTGTGGTGGCTGAGAGCATCAAGCAAATAAACCAGCTGCATCCACAGCTGCATCTGAGACACATCCGCCAGTGCCAGGCAGCTGGCAGAGACCATGGGCAACAAAACATGGATGCCGCTGCCCTGGGGGGCTTGGGAGGGAATCAGAGGGAAGTCACAGTAGATTGTCTCTCCAAGGATAATCTAAATTTGGGTAAAACCTGCCTTGAATCAAATTAAAATTCTTTTCTGAACATTAGCTGACCTCATTAGGAGTTAGGCATCCCTCATTCTCTTAGTAGAAGACCAGGGAGTATGTCTCCTAGCAACAGGGACATTCACCATTTGACTGCAGGACTGTCTCATAAAGGGCACTTTGGGTCTTGGGTCTGCTGCCCACAGTTTTCACAGCAACTCCCAGAAAGGAGTCAGTCACAACCAACTTAACCATTGCCTTCAGTTTCAATGCATGGTCCTAATGAAGTAAGTGAGAATTCCAAGAACTGGATTAACTGACCTGAGTTAACCCTTTGGGCAGATTTTGCTTAGTGTTTGTCTGTTTCTATGAAAGGTATTTTAAAGCTATCTAAGAAAAGTATTTAAATGCAGCTTTGGCTGTATCTCCTGTGTTTTAATATATAGTAGTCGCACTATCAGTTTATTTGAATACACTTTAAGTTTAGTTTTAAGTTCTTTTTGATCCAAGAATTCTCTAGAACAATGTTTTCATATTTCCAAATATAGTGTTATTGTTATTGCTAAATTTGAGTTTTATTGCATCATGTTTGGGGAATGTGGCCCACACACTTTCTATTTTTAAGAAGCCACTGAGGTTTTCTTTGCTATATAGAAAGGGCATTTTTCTTACCCCATGTGTTTTTATTTTGCTGATAAGGTATAATGCAACCCATCCATCAGGGAACATGATGCAGTACACGTACTGCTGTTTTTATGGTGCACTTTGCCATCTGGGAGAGGCTCTCCACCTCTTCCTCTTGCTCACAGGAAGCAAGCCCCTTGCGTGCTCCAGGCTGGAATCATACCTCCTGCTACTGATGAGCTGCTCAGCCACAATCATGATCTCATGTTGACTTTCAGTGTCTGCAAACTGCAATAGGGCCAAACTGCCAGGTCAGTGTCAGAGACGCTGGTTGTGACTGAGTGATTCCTACTGTGTGGATCGAAGGGCAAATGGGAACATGCTACGCTCTTTTAAAAGGCAGTTTGATCAACCAATTCATTACTGTTAGCTAGCAATAATATCCTCAACCGATAACCCTGCCTTATGCTCTAGAGCTGCATGCCAATATAGTAGTCACTAGGCACTTACAGCTATATAAATGTAAATTAATTAAAATTAAATAAATCTCAAAATTAATTTCCTCAGTTGTACTTGGCACCAGCCACGCGAGGCTGGTGGTTTTTGTGTTACACAATGCAAATATAAATCACTTCCATCACTGCAAAATTTTCTATTAGATTGCACAGCTCTAGAGGTAAAAACTGAGAGTACGATGGTCTTTTGATGTGTCCACTTGGTGAGGCTCTAGTCCCCAGCTCCTCAACTGAACACTAACCCAAGTGTTGCTGTGAAGGTATCAGCAGTGACTAAAATCCATAACCAGTTGACCTTTAGTAAAGGAGATTATCCTAGGTAATTTGAGTGGGTCTGATTCAAACAGTGGGGAGAACTAGAATAGAACAGAAGTGTCCTGTGGATTTTGGAGATGCCTGACTATCACACAAGTGAATTCCTTGCATTCAATCAATTAATCTCTCTTCCCTCCCCTCCCTCCAACCATGTGTATCTCCTGCTGACCTCTCTGGTTAAACCCTGGCTCATATAGGAACGTTCTCATCTGTACACTCCCCAAACTGCAAACAGACCTGTGCCCAATTCACCTTCAGTCGTTCTCCTGTCTCACAACAAAGGAAGTAAATACCCTTCCTCCTATTTAACAGCTGTCCCTGCATAGCTCTCTGGGTCCCATCTCCTCTCACTTTCTCAAAGGTCTTCCTCTAAGGTACCCCTCCCCTCCTCTGTGTCTCATCTTTACTTTTCTATGAGATCTTTCCCATAGTATGAGCCAAAAGCTTGCATATAGGTAGGTGACTTATCAAGAGGTGATCCCAGGATGGGGAAAAGATGGATAAAACAGGAAAAGAAGTAAAGCCAATACACAGATACCTATTTTCTTTAATGGCACCAGGTGTTCAGCGCCATGGGT